TATGCGCACTGTAAAACAATGTCCAAAGTCTCAGAAGAAAGAATGCTGGCCTTATCGAAATAATACCTTCTAAATTTCCTGAAAATTATTTTTTTATATTTTGCTTTGTTCCTCTTTGGTGAATTTAGCATGACTAAAGTTCTGAGTTCAAGGAAATCTCTGCTCTCTGCAGTGCAGAGGTAAGCTTGTTTCACACTGCTGTATTGGAAGTTTTTTTGTTTGAATGTCATTTTACATTTTAAACTATAGCCATAAAAATACACTATTGACTATGTATCTGTCAAAACATTACTTGTATTTAGAAACATTATGTTATGTATTTGTACTGTGATGGATGTATCGCAATAAATGAAGAAAAAAAAAGTGCTTTGACCTATTTTTTATGGTGGTTATTTATAAAAACATTGAAAACTTGGCCAAATTTCAAGAAAACACACTGTATTCTGCTGAGAGAAATTATATTTGACAGATCTCACCAATGGTAAAATTCCAAAATGGCCCACAAATGTATGTTTTTCTGTGTTCAAAATTGCTTATGGCCTATCTTGCTGATCAGTAAAGCACAATTTCTACCTTATATAAATATGCTTTACTTTTAGAGAATGTATTTCGATGATCTCACTGATAAACTGTGTCAACTGGTAGTTGGTTTCACAGGAGAGGAGACTGATAACTAAATTCTAGGAACCACTAGTAAACCTGCAGAATGAGGGTGAAGTGCTCTGTTAGGGACATAAACAATCATATCTCTGATATACGATTGAGTGTGGCCATTTAAGGCTTTATATGTGAGAAGGAGGATTTTAAATTTTATTCTTGATTTAAAAGGAAGACAATGAAGAGAAGCTAGGATAGGGTAGATATGATCTCTCCTTTTAATTTTCATCAGAACTCTGGCTGCAGCATTTTGGATAAGCTGGAGGCTTTTAACTATAGTTTCTGGATTTCCTGATAGTAAAAGAATTATGTTAGGTTTATTCTTTTATACATCATGTGCATTGTTACTTTGTTTGCCTGATTAGAGAGAGTAGATGGCCTTTCTTCACATTGTGGATGTCACAGT